AGGTACCTAATATTCTCTAATGATTCTACCTTGTAATCAATCCACATATTGGGACTTGGGAGTGTAGTGTAGTTAATCTAAGCAATTTTACAGTAATTTACTTTTAGAGAAAAGAGAGAAGGTCATGATGATGTCGCGGTGGGGACATAAAGGTAATTCAATTAGAGCATCTCCAATGCTAAATGTCATTTTGGGCTGCCAAAGCTATATTTTGAGAGGAGCTACACTGTCAAAATACTATATTTTAGCAATTACGCTCCAATGGTGCATTTAATCCAAAATGCTATATTTTAGCAATTCTCAGCCTCCATTGAACCAAATCCAACCCAATTCTAGCTTCCCAATCCTACTTTAACTCTGACCGTTAATTTCCAAATTACCTTCCCATCTTAACCATTCATTGCATTATGTCCCACATAATATTTTTAGGGCAAATCATTTCAGCCTCCCCAATCACCTCTATCTTTATTCTCGTTCTTAAATTTGAACTTACCCTCTCTCTCTCTCTTTGCAACTGCAAACTACAAAATCTACAAGAATCAGAAGTTCAAAACCCATATATTTTAGTTTATCTATCTGTTTGCAAGAATCAAAAGTTCAAAACCCATATCGGCATATCATTTCAGATTGTTCAAAAAATCAAAACCCATATCAGCATATCATTTCAAATTGTTCAAAAAATCAAAACCCATATCTTTCAGTTTTAATCGCCCGCTATTCCAGTTCGGGTTTGCCGTTCGCAAGCTTCAGCCGCTGTCTCTCAACTCTCAAGCTTGCCTCCCCCCCCTCTCTCTCTACAACTGCTAACTTATATGTATGGGTTTTGAAAATTGTGAATCATTAAGATACATACATATATATATATATATATATATATATATATATTGTATATATAACAACACTTACATGACTGATTTCAAATTGAGGGTTTCAAGAAATGGGAAATTGGAGGATTAAGGAAACCATTTGGGTTTGGTGCTTTGATTTGTAGTGCTTACAGAAGATGCATCATTCTTAAGAGCATTGTGAGAGGACTGAGTTTTGTGGACAGCTGTTGAAGACTTGGTTGAAGATTGTGATGATGCAATTTCTTAGCCACATCTTTTGGGTTTGGTGCTCTGTTTTCTGGAGAGTTAGATATACAAACATACATATAGAGAGAGAGAGAGATTGAGGTCAGATTTTGCAAATGGCAACAAACTTGTCGTTGCAGATGAGAGGGAGAGAGACGACAAAGGAATTAAGAGACTTGCCAAAATTTTTTGGCAGCTGCTAGATTTGAGAGTGAATTTGAGAATTTCAAATTTTGAGAGTTCAAATGAGAACTCATTGGAGAGCTCACTTTTTAGCCATCTCTCATATTTTGAATTTGAGAGCTCAAATGAGAAAGTATTGGAGATGCTCTGAGAGAGAGAAAGTGTGTGTGTGTTGCATGCATAACAAGTGAATGCAATCTTAAAAGTTGTTATAATAATATAGTGGAAACTATGTCAACACGCGAACGTTATTAAATCATTAGGTACGACGCACCCGTTGGTCTTAGATTGCAATTGGATATTAGGGGTGCAGTGCTTCATGTGGTTATTTTCCGTCATTTCTCTGCTGTTTCAGCTTTAGAAGCGGAAGCGTTGGTCTGTCAGCGTGCGATTCTTTGCGCTATTGATTTGCATTTCTCTTCCGTATGGTTTGAATCGGATGCTAAGGTTGTGCTGGACGGGGTGTTATGTCAGCTGTCTTGCCCGTCAGAAATTGCTTCTATTTGTTTTGATATTGCTCGCGACTTGCGACGGTTTCAAGCAGCTCGGTTGACTCATGTGCGTCGTCAGGGTAATCGGGTGGCTCATGCTTTGGCCGCTCTTTCGCGGTCTGGGATTGTGTCCGATATGTGGTTGTCTTCTGTTCCTCCTTCTGTCGTCCCTTTTGTGGTGGCAGAGGGTGGGTCTTAGTAGGTTGTGGTTCTTTTGGTTTCTTGTGTTATGGTTGTTTTTGCCTTGGACCAAAAAAAAAAAAAAAAATTATATATATATATATATATATATATATATATATATATATATGTTTATGTATATTTTAAGCTAAAGAAAATATTTTATTATACAAAGTTTTCTAAATTTTTAAAGATTCACACCAAAAATTGAGGCGGCCAAGATCTGATTCAACTGCAATGACAAGTTGGCAATATCTTATGATTGAGAGCTTAAGTTTAAATTAATCTATTGATTGTGTCAGAACAATGTAAGAGTTAATTTATTTACCCAAAAAAAGAAGAAGTGTAAGAGTTAATTTTTAAAATAAAAGGAAAAAAAAAATTAATTGAAAGAGACACATATAATTAATATTAATGCAAATACAATTAAATAGAGTAATTCTCATTAATTTAGCTTTATATCACTAGAATGCATGCAGTATCAGCCTATCAGGTTCCCACGTTACAATTAAATTAAGCACAAACAGGTAGCAGTATCATATTTGTGATGTGTGTGTGTGTCTATATATATAT